ATATTCAGGTATTCTAGACTGACTTTCCAACCCCACACCCCTTTGCTCAGGTCACGTTATTAAGAAATGGGAGTGGACTTAGTGATTTGTCCTTTTTTTTGGCAGGAGAGAACAGTACAAACACGGCGTCTTGAGAACTCATGAGCTGTAGGTAACAGACACTCAAATGCTGCACTGGAAGCTGGTGAGGTCACATAGCCTACCAGTGCTTTCTGGGATTCTGGCAGGTGTTCTGAAGCCCCGCTCACTCACCTGGTGTTTTGTGTAAACATGAAATTTTTACTCTTTTTGGTTTCAATAACTATGTGCGCGCGCACACACACACACACACACACACACACACACACACACACACACACACACCAAAAGCCTATCAGATTGTGAATCCATAAGATTCTAGCCACCTCAAGAAAACACAAATAAGCAGGGATCCAGTTTCCTCTCCTAAATGTACCTTTGGAGGCAGGGTATTCTGAATCCATTAGAGCCTTTCTTATTTAAAAATCTAATCAGATGGTTTTGCATTTCTTTAGGGGAAGTGATTTCTTTTATTGAGTCTTTGTTTACTCTGCCATTCACATTTACTTTTTATGTTTTCTGTTCCAAATACAGTCTGTATTAAGGAATTCTAAAATACCAAAACAAAACAACAAATGATTCTAACCACCTGAGTTTACAGACTGCAGCCCTACCCTTTCATAATTCAAGGTTGGCACGGAGGATGCAGAGCTCCTAAGATGGGCTTCATCATTACCTCCATACTCACGCCAGGAATGCTTCAAAATGCTTGGCACCCAGTGTTTAGGTAGAAAAGCTCTCTGCTTTCATGATCCTTGCCCCATGACTGGAATTAAGAGCAAGTTTGTTTTTGAAAAGCAAAGCCTAGATTGTTATGGTTTTTGTTTCTTTAAGAGACAAGCCACGCCCACTCCCAGCGGCCCCTCCCTGCAACCGCCATTTTAGATCTCCTACTGTCCCCTCCCCCCCCCGTTTTCCCTTCTTCTCTCTTTCTTTCTCTTTCTCCTCTCTCTCTCTCTCTCTCTCTCTCTGCCCCCCACCCCACCTTTCCCTTTCCCCTCCATAACCCCCTGAATAAATATTTAACTTCACTCTACATGTTGGGTCTATCCGTGTTTCTGCCTGCCTGCCCCGCGATGTGCCTTCCTTCCACCCACTTGCCTGCCTGCACTGACTCGCGGGACTGGCGACCAGCCTGCCCCCACCCCCAGGACGCACGGATCGCAAGCCACCCTCCCGGGACGAGCGAATTTTAAAACATTGGTGCCGTGACTTGTATAGATGTCATTTAGCAAACTGAGATTGTTATGAACTGGGTCAGAGGTGATGACTACTAGTAACAGTGGGTCAGGCTCCATGCTGTTCTACATGTTGTGTGTGCCCAGTGGAGTCCTAGAAACGGTGGATCAAGCTCCGGGTTTCTCCACATGTTATGTGTGCCCAGTGGGGTCATAGTAACCGTGGATCAGGCTCTGTGCTGTTCCACATGTTGTGCGTGCCCAGTGGAATCCTAGTAACAGTGGGTCAGGCTCTGTGCTGTTCCACATGTGTGTGCCCAGTGGAGTCCTGAGAGGAAGTGTACTAAGGCAAATGAGCACATGTGGGATTTATTACTTATTTTTTATTTTTAGATAATATTTCACTATGTAGCCCTGGCTGTCCTGAAACTTGCCATGTAGACCAGGGTAATGTGTAACTATGATGTTTCTCTTGCTTCTGCTTCCTGAGTGCAGAAAGTAGATATATTAATCACTATACCAGGCCTATCATGTTGAGCTCAGTCTTTGTGTGTGTATGATTGTATGCATTTATATGCATACCTGTTCATGTGTGCAGAGACCATAAGGTGTCATGTCTTCTCTCCTTTTACCCTTTGTATATTCCTTTATGGCAGTGTCTCCTCAAACCTGGACATCATGTTTCCTAAGCAAGCCAGGAAGCCCCAATGATTCTCCCATTTCTCCCCACTCAGAGCTGGATCAGAACGGTGCATGGAATGCCTGGATTTTACATTTGTGATGAGATCCAAAATCTTGTCCTCATGATTGCACAGCAACATTCTTAATTGTTGAGCCATTTCTCCAGCACCACATTAAATTCCTAAGTCGAGATAACCACATGTCTTAGTTTACCCTGAACAATCTGGGGTTAATGATCTTAACCCCATTTAGTTATTATGATGTCACACTGTTTTTCTTTAAAGCATCCCAGCTCCTCCTGGTAATTTATATGATCATATACATTAGCCAGTTCTTTTGCCCTGATACCAAATCCTTTTAAAATCACAGAGACTCTAAACGCCAACTCTTTAGGTTTTACTCATGGATCTGTGCCTCACTTGCAACTGTGTCACAGGCTGTGAGTCTGAGTTAAATTTATTCCTCGTTCTAGACTTGGTGCTGGTTCCATAGATCATTTTTTTAGGGTGCAAAGGCTTGAAGATCAGCCTTGATAGGAGGGCTCTTACTGTCAAAAGAACCTCCAGTCTGAGGTTGATAATTGCATTGACGCATCTTCCATTGGCAAAACAAGTCAGTGTCCCAGACCAACAAAGAGAATTGTGATTTTAACCAGCTCCATGGAGGAGAGTGTTATGACATGGGAGAGTGATCAGTAAATAATACACAGTGACCACCTTACAGTCCTAACCCCACTGTCTCCTACCATCCCCCTCCAGCCTTTGCAGCTACTCTCCTTGCGGTGTATGTCAAAACAAAGCTGCAGTCGTTAATAAAGGAGTTCTGGCTGCGTATGGAGTACAGACTGTGTCAAGGGATTCCACTGTATGTGTAGCCTGGTTCTGCTACGGCAGGGGTAGGGGTGGGATGGGGTTTGATGTTTGCTATGCCTGTAAGTGTGACCCCAGCCAGCTGTTATAGAAATCTGGAGTGGACACTTCAGTTCACTATGTGAAATGCCACAGTCAAGTAGAGCCTGAGGTCACACCTTTTCTTCAATGCCCTAACTGTGTTGGGGACCTATGAAGCAAGGTGACTAATGTCTTTATTTTGTCTCTATCAACTGTGCAACCTACTCTCCCCACTTCTCTACTTGTGAACTTTTTGTGTGTGTGAGAGAGAAGGTTTGCAGCAACCCAAACCATCCTTGAAGTCACTATTATACCAGGGATGACATTGAAATTCTGGTACTTCTGACTCTAGCTCCCAAGTTGTGGGATTACAGGCATGTGCCACTATGCTTGATCTATGCAGAACTGGGACTGGGAATCTAGTGCTGGACCACCTGCATGCTGGGCAAGCATTCTGCCATCTAAGCCACTCCCCCAGCCCTGTGCCTGCGATTTTTCATTTTTGGTTTGATTAGTGTCCCCTCACTGGTTGGTGCTAAGTGTTCACTACTGGTTGGCTTTTCTACAACAACTCTAGAAATCCCTTCATGTTACTCAGTGGTGATGCATGTCTTGTTTCAGTGAGATTTTGAGCCCAGATGATGAACGGAAACAGGAATCCCAGTGTTATTAGCAGAAATGTAATATTGTTTTACCACAACAAAGACTGATGGGAGGCATAGGGGTATCTGTTTGATCCATCAGCAGCCTGGAAGCTTGCTCCTTTCAAGAGCAATTTTCATGACAAAATGATTATTATTTCCTAAGAACAATCAAAGTCATGGTGAAAATCATGGCTGGTGGTGGATCGGCTTTATTCAGTGGGCAAGTGGTGTAGGTCCTACATGAATTAGCAGGGTTATATATGACTGTCACAAATCAGAGAACATTTATGAGTATTAAGAATATGAACCTATGAAGGTATGAAGACTATTTATCTTACTGTGTCTCCAAAATGTAGCATACTGTCTGTGACATAATAGGCGTTCAGAATACTGTAAGGGAGCAGTGCAGTTTTAAAAAACGCCTGGTAGAGACAAAACCTGGGGAGAGTCTTGTGGAGTGGGGCAACACAATGAACATGTGGGGGCATCCTTTAAAGTAGTGGTGTCAGGGATGAGGTCAGGTTCCTGCTGCAGTCTCTCTGACCTGACCTTGAGATCGGAGCCTGGGAGAGACTATGTTTTGCCTTGAAAGGTATGAGTATAGCTGTAGAATACTGCGAGGCCATGGGACATGTAGTCCACACACAGTCACCATCATTCCCAGCTGTGTCCCCTTGCCCTTGTCCCTTTGTGGCACGCCTGCAGACCTCTACTGTGGCTTCAGCATTGGGTTCAGTGTGGGGTTTTCTTCTGGCCATTGAAGCTCCTTCTTCCTCCTAGGCTGGATGCTGAAGTGCTGGTATGGAATGTTCTTTAGAACTTCCTTTAAGTTAGTGACTAACAGAAGTGGGTGGAGGAGCCCAGGATCTTCACTTCCTGGGTGGGATAACCCTGAGGTGCACAGAGCTCCTGCCGCAGCTTAGCCTGTAACTACCACTCTGATAACTGGATTGATGTTGCTCAGCATACTAGATCCCCAGCTTGGTCTGTATTTTTTTTTTCACCTTCTAAGAAAACCTCCTGCTCTTGAATAGATGTCCCAGGCTTTACTTCTGGGGAAACTCAAAACGGTGACATTCTAAGTTCTGAAGACCTAAGTGGTAGGTATTTTTGATGCTACAAAGCACACTAACCATGTGAGCTTAGGCCCTTAAAAACTTAATAGAAAGATATGTGTGGTTTAATTACTAAATTGTGTGGATCCTTGAGATGACAGGGTAAATCTAAAAGACGGTTGAAAGTTCCATACTCAGAAAACCTTAGTGATCGTTGTTTCCTGTAAGATAGTCTTATGCAAATTTCTAAACTCAATTTGCATGCCGTGTTATCTTCTTTCTCCTTTTGCTCCTGGAGCCTCTGGTTTGTATCTGCATCCTCATTGTAAGGAAACACTGCAGCATCTCCCAGCCTGGCCTTCAGAGCTGGGTCCTTCAGAATGAGTGGGCGAGATGCTCCTTCTGCCTGGACTGCGCAGAGGGCCCTGAGAGCCATCATTGCACTGACTGACTTTTTCCATTTCTTCTTTGCAGATATCTCTGTGAGCCTGCTAACCCTTGTGGTTACCGCCTGTGGTCTTGCCCTCTTTGGTGTCTCCCTCTTCGTGTCTTGGAAACTGTGCTGGGTTCCATGGCGAGAGCGAGGCCTGTTCTCTGGTGGCAAAGACAACAACCAAGAGCCTCTTAACTACACAGACACAGAGACCAATGAGCAGGAGAACAGCGAGGACTTCCTAGACCCACCCACACCCTGCCCTGACTCCTCCATGAAGATCAGCCACACTTCCCCCGACATTCCCCTTTCCACCCAGCCAGGTGACCAGGAGAACTGTGCCCATGCCATCCGTGTTCAGCGACAAGTCACAGAGCCAACGCCATCAGCTCGGTCAGTAATGCCCATTTTTTTATGAATGCAAGGCAAGGACCACCCCACCTCCCCATGTTTAGCCTGGCTAGCTGAGGGTCCAGTAATCATCGAGATGTCCACTCAGTTTCAGGAACATGAAAATAGTGCAACTCTGTGGCTCTTAACTAGACTTAGAGCTCTACTTCATTTCCATAAAATCCATAAAAGTAATGATTGACATTGCTCCCATGTCACATACTTATTATTTTTATAAACAGTTCTAACATGTGTACTGTTATTTTAATTTTTCAGTAAGGGAAACTTAGAATTAAGGAGGATGTATATTAGCATGTAACCAGATCAGGATTTGGGCACTAGAATCTGAGCTGTTAGGTATTTTTCTCACGGTGTCATCCTAAAGCCGTGAAATTGACTCACTGTGCTTCTGACCTGTGCTAGCATTCACAATAGGCTGACTTTAGATGCCACAGAATACCTGGAAGTCTTTGTCCACCCCCTGGCTTTCTAACAGTTGCAGACAGCTGGGAACGGGGATCCTATTGTCTGCATGCTGTGCATTCCTCAGCAGTGGATAACAGAGTATACTGGATAAAACTCTGTGGGCTCTGGGATGTAAAGAGCTGCTTTATTTACTTTTGTCGTGGTGTTGAACAAATTACATAACCTCCATGTATGTCCTTATTGGCTTCTGTAATAGAGGGGTAGTAGAAATACCAACGTAGGAGTGGTTTTGAGTACGGAATGGTAACGCACACTTGCACAGATTTGCACTGGTAGCACTGACACTTTGCTTTCCATGTCACTGTTTTCACACAACTATCACTGAAACACAACTCTCCCGAGATGCTGAGATTGAGGCATTCCTCTTCCAAATGCGAAAGTTGTGCAAAGGTAACCAGCTCTAGTGACTGGATAGAAAACCTAATTTTTTAATAAGGCATTTTAGGAAAGAAGACATGGGAATCAGCCTTTTAAAAAGCAAAACTAAACTAAACTAAAATATTTACTTGAGTGATAGCCAGGAGAATAACATGTACAGTTATTTTTTTGAAAATAGGAATATAGTTTGGAATATTTTTAAAAAGTTCTTTCTGTTCCCTAGATATATGAATGATAATGAAGTTTATCCTAGAGACTGTACTCACTCACATTAAGTGTGGTAGAATATGACAGTTTATAGTGTGATTTTTTTTCTACAGAAACTTATTTTAGCATTATTTCCAGTTTTGTATCAAAAACCAAAACTTAAAATAGCCCTCTTTAAAGGAGCTGCTGTGTTTTCCTCTTGATTTACAGGAAACCCTCAGACTTTCTCACAAGGATATCTCTTTGGACAGCTAGAGTTGTTGATATCACCATGAAGTTCACACAGTGGGACAGACTTATAATAAGATCTTTTTAGTGTTCCCAAGACCTGGAGCTGGTCATGTGGGTCACTACTCATGCAATTGCTCCTGCCTGGGTTCCCTGGGATACAGAGTGATAAAAATGTTCCTAATGGATTCCATCTGTACATACTGCCCTATAACTAAGAAGCTGTCATCAGTGATATCCCTGAAATTATCACAGTGTTTATCCTAAAAATATTTAGATAGACTGTATAAAGAGATGTGTTTGAAAGAGGAAACCCATTGTTAGCATCACCATAGATCTATGGAAACTCAGTAGAAGAAATTAAAAAAGAAGAACAAAAGATTAATCCCTATAAAATGTAAAAGGAACACCCACCACCCGGCTAGCTTTACCCCCAAAATAATTACACGGAAACTGTATTCTTTCAAACACTGCCTGGCCCATTAGTTTCAGCCTCTTATTGGCTAATTCTCACATCTTGCTTTAACCCATATTTAATAATCTGTGTAGCACCACGAGGTGGTGGCTTACCGGGAAAGATCCTAACCTGCGTCTGTCTCAGAGAGAAGAGTCATGGCGGTTGCCTGCCTCTGCTTTCTTTCTCCCACAATTCTGTTCTGTCTACTCCACCCACCTAAGGACTGGCCTATCAAAAAAGCCAAGGCAGTCTCTTTATTAACCAATGAAAGTAACACATAGACAGAAGACCCTCCTCCATCAATAAAATGCATTTTATATTCAGATTATTTTAGATTCGAAGATAAGCAATTAAATTTTCTTTCAAACAGTGAAAACTGGGTTCAGTAACAGCTGAGCTGCCATCAGCAATCTATACACTTTTCGGCTACATTTGACCTAGTATTAAGAATTTGCATTGTTACGCATGTAAAACATTCATACCTAAATTACGACTGACCTAGTTCCTTGCATTCTTCCTGAAAATGTGTCTTTGTCTAGCAGTGATCCTCAAATTCATTAGCAACTGGTTTTAAGAATGTGGTGCACACCTGAGCTCCAGGAGGCACAAGGACTCAGAATCAACAGCTAGGGAGCCTGTGTGGGACCAACCTAGGCCCCCTGCAGTTTGTGACAGTTGTGTAGCTTGGTCTGTTTGTAAGGCTCCTAGCAGTGAGATCAGGACCTGCCCGTGGCACTTTGCTTTTGAGAACGCGTTTCCCATGCTGAATTACCTTGCCCAGCCTTTATAGAGGGGGAGGAGGAAGAGCTCAGTCCTACAACAACTTGCTGTACCATGCTTTGTTCAAGCCCATGGGAGGCCTGCCTCTTTCTGAATGGAGATTGAGGAGGAGTAGGTGGATGGGGAGGGGAGAGATAAGAAGGAAGTGGGGGGGCTGGGAGGAGAGGAGGGAGGGGAAACTGGTAAGTATATAAAATAAAGGAAAAAATGTTAATAATAATTTTATTTTAAAAAGGAAAGTGGTACACACACACACATACACACATGAGACAGACAGAGAGAGAGAGAGAGAGAGAGAGAGAGAGAGAGAGAGAGAACGCAGTTTTCTTGTGGAGAACCAAGGTATAATTCTGTCAGTGTCTAACTTGAGGAACCAATGAGTTTACTTACAGGAGCATGAGTGACCCCAAAGCAGTCACACCAGCAAAAGAATCTCCCATAACTACATAGAGGGGTTATAGTTCCTATAGCTTCAGTTAACCTGCCAAATTCTCTAATACTTCCTAGGACCTTGAGGCCACATGGAATTAGGTTAGAATTGCATACAAATGGTCAGAAGTTGCAGAGGGAGGGACAGGAACCTCTTAAGTGTTCGAAGACCCTCTGTGTCTTCTTCTATGAGGAAGCCCCAGTAGTTAACAAGCTTTATTTTAGGGGTCTTTTGCAACTACTCTGCTGAAGATGGTGTCTGTATGTGCTTAAAGGAAGTACTCTACAATACACACACACACACACACACACACACACACACACACACATTTTACTGACAAAATGGAAAAATGAATGAAATTTCCTTCCTTCATTCAAAAGATTGGTATTTTTACGGCTCTGAGGACCACAGGAGCTTGGAAATGCTAGGTGTTGTCTTATCACTGAGCTACACATGCAGCCTTCTAAACCATTTGTGACATTCCGTTTAAGTACCATGGTTGTGGGGATAGGGGTAGGTTCTACTGTAATGGCTCAGAATCGTTTACTCTTCCTGTTTTTGACTCCTTCTGCCTTTTCCCATAGTTTCGAGGACAGCTCCAAGGCCCAGTACACACAGTGTTCATGGTACCTTCCATGTTGCCATGGTTATCATAGCTTCTGCTATAGCATTTACATAGGAAATCGCCACTTTACCTGGCCTCTTCTTTCTGAGAATGTTGGGCTCACCTTGTTGTCTAAAGATGAGCTATGCTTTTATCTTCTAAGAATGTCAGCCTGGCAGTGGTGGCATACCCCTTTAGTCCCAGCACTTGGGAGGCCGAGGAAGGTGGTTCTCTATGAGTTCCAGGCCACCGTGGTCTACAGTGAGATCCAGGACAGCCAGGAGTACACAACACAGTGAAACCCTGTCTCGAGAATCCACATACACACACACACACACACACACACACACACACACACACACACACACACACACCGAAGCAAAAGAATGCTTCTTATCAGCATGACTTTCTGCTGTTCTCCCAAGGCCAGCCTTGCTAAAATGCTGTGTCTGGTTAATTCAGTTACTGCTGCAACAACCCAAAGTTCCTGTTAATTTTTTTCATCTGGGTGATGTCTTCCTTGAAGTATTGACCTAATAATATTTTGGGAATGTGGACATCTTACTTTTCTCAGAATTGGTCAATATCAAAGCTTTCTTGGAAAACTTGAATATATGAAACTTCCTGTATCCCCAAAGTAGAGGAAACCCAAATGCGAATTGCTCAGTTTCCTGAATCATGTCCCATGATGAAAGTCCGGGGTTGTTTTTTTTTTTTTAATAACTCAGATTTCTTGACTAACACTTCGCCTTTATAACAGAACTGGTCACACCACAACCCCTCATCAGATCTGTGAAGGTCCTGCTTCCTCCTGCCAGGGCCTCCATGAGGCACAACGCTGGAGGTTACTGTTCACTAGGGCCCAGCAGAAAGCTCAGTGCTGTCAGCTACACATGCCTCCCCGGCTCCCTGGGGTATCTGAGCTTGTTCTCGCCTAGAGTCCCTGGCACACGCTGTTCCCTCAGCCACTGGTGATTTTCCCGTCCCTGCCAGTGTTAGTGTCCCAGCTTAAATGTCCCTGTTCAGTAGGCTTGGGCACCTACCTGAAGGATATGTTTTCTCTGCTGCCTCCCACTCCGGCTTCACATGTTTTGCTTTTGCTTCTTCATGACATTCAACTCTATTTCCAAGTTGTCATTTGTTTCTTTATCACCCATCTTTCCTCTGTGAGCACAAACCATATCTGTTTTGTTTCTTTTTCTATGTCTAGTCCCTGGTACAGCTCTAGGAATAGCAGACCTTCTTCTATGAACAGCTGACAGAATACATTGGCCAGTAACATCCCACATTTCTCTGACAAGGATGGCAAAGGTCAGAAGTATAGATTACATAGGGCCTTTTGTGGTGTGAGTTGGTCATTCACCTCAGGCTTATGCTTATTAGAAGCCTTTCATGTCGACCTTTGAATTTATCTCTGAAGTAAGCAATCCATA